ACTGTTCACACACATGTAACAGGGTTCAGTCTGCTCATGAATATACAGTTTACAACACCCCGTTAAATCTCTTTTTCAACATGACAGTTCCAGGCTCTGCGTTGTGTAGAAGATGATGTTGAAGCAACAGCTGGCTGGTGACTGGCTGACTCCAGCGAAGAGACAAAGACAGCTCCAATGTCGATTCAATAACTTTTTTTTTATTATTGCTAACAAGAAATTCAGGATCTGGGGGATGAAAGTCTGGTCTCAATAAAATTATTGAGTCCAAAAGAAAACCATCATCAAAGGAAACTTAAAATACTAATGAGTGAAGTGTAAATAAATAAATCATATGGCCTAATAGTTTAACTCTAACCAGACTGAAATCTTTCAACTATAATTTATTTAAAGACACAGCTGACACATAGAATCATAGTGTAAGTCAATATAGTTACTTTCTCTCTCAGACTATATACATTAGTATATTAATATTTACAGATCTCACACTCACACACTCACCTGGGGGATACAACCCCGGTCTGACTTGTTCCCCCTCTAATGGACCTCACAAATATGTACACTTTACAACAAACAAATAAAGATAAAATTACAGACAAAATTTTATTGTATATTAAAATAGAGATTTTGCTATTAGATATAGTAACAATTTAAAGAAGTGAGCATGATGCACTGTCATCTAAACAGGTGAAAAAGCCTCAGTGTGTCAGCTCCATTTACACACTGTTTCCTTTGTCTGCAACAATGTGAGCATTTTCTAAATCTTCCCCTGCGTGTTTACAGAGGAGGGACAGATGCAGTTTACACTGAGGACGCATTCATGTGGACATGGACTCAGTGTGTCATGTCTCTGCTCGTACTATAACATCAGAACATCTCACAGCTAAAGGAACAACAGAATAAAAAGGTAGGAACATGATCAGCTAAGGCCAACTCTGCTTGTCTTTGCTGCAGCTGTTTTCAGAGGATCTCACATGAAATATCCAAACTTTATTTTCATCATTACAGAATATTTAGTCATTTTCAATAATTAAACAATCAAAATGTCCTTGCGTGTTTTTAAACATGTTTTGTCTGACTAGGCCGAGGCTCAGGCTCTCAGCTTACAGTCCTCGCAGAGAGGAAGCTGGAACCAGGTGGGTCCATTCGACCCCCGGCTCCTCCGGTCCACATGTTGAAGGGCAACATGCTGAACCCCAAACTGCCCCTGATGTAACATCGGTGTGTGAGTGTGTGTGATAGAGATGCACTGTATAAATGACAGTGAATGGGTTAATGTGACTTGTAGTGGAAAGCGCTCTGAGTGGTTGTTAAGCCTAGAGACCTCTAGAACTGCTTAAATATTTAAAGTACTTGCTTAATTAATAAATCAAATGATTCATAAATTTGTTGTGGATAAATGAAATGTTTAATCATGCAGTGATTTCAGCTTTGGTCTGAGTTTTCTCATTGTATTCAGTGTCATTATGTTGTGTGTAAATGAACTGAACACAGCAGAGCAGCATTAGTTATTGGTCTCTAGTCTGGTGATAATCTAAATTTCTCTCATTCTCAACAGATCCCATGAAAAGGCTCATTAAAAATGAGTACAGCTACTGTAGTGTCAGTCCCATACACACCATCCCTCTGCCCCAAATATTCATTGGAAGAACAAGTGTGTATTCATGTGCAGCTGAAAATAGTCCCAAACAAATGCACTTTATACTTCAGTTTGTTAAAAACCAGTGCCCTGGTGTTTTAACCAATTACACAAAACCACGTACAGTGTAGGATATTTGATGTTCTGTATAATTAAAAACAGACATTGAAAAGCCGCAAAGTGCAAAATGCAACAGAAGTTTGTGGCCAAATACTGAATGAGAAGATGACTGCAGTCTCAACAAGCTTGACATGAGAGGATTTTTCCATCACAACAATGAATCCCAAGCGCACTCAGAAAAATCAAGCAATAGTATTTTAAGGGCTATATATTCGCTGCCACAAGACTACCGGCCACAACCGGCTACAACCATTAGCCCACGCTAGCATTACTGTGATATGCTCCACAGCAATACTGACAATTAGCCAGCTAGCGATAGCAACATCTGCCAAACACATTTATAATACGGGTAACAGCAAGTTAACCAACATTATCATGTCTACTGCAGCTGTCACTAATTAAAAAACAGACATGTAACATTATGAACCATCAAGTTACTGACACATGGAGGAGAAGAAAAAGCAGTTCTGGGTCCAGCGTGCCCCTTTAGCAGCTCGTAGGGTTCTCCATCTAAAGCAAGACCAGTATTGACTGGGAAAGAAATTCAGCCTTCGATGGATCCACTGAGATCAGCCGCATGAATGACCCTGATGGAGCTGGTATACACTGTATACACGATATTTTGATGGTTCAACAGCCAACCAGGTTTTAAGTCCACCTGTGCTCTGGTCTCATCTCAAAATATGGTTTCTTCATCGGAGGAAATTCTGGAAGATCGTTCTCACCTGAAGGCTTTTACCTTTTATCTTTTACCAAGCTGCAACCCTCCAGCACAGAGCAGCTGAACAGAATCATCTTTGAAGAATATGACAGAACATCTCTCACCAGACTTGTGTCAGACTGGTGTCATCCATGTCCAGGAGGATAAAATCTGTCATCAATAATAAAGGCGGACATACAAAACATTAAAAAAGTAAAAGAATGGGATCTCAGTAATGAAGGGTGTACTCACTTTTGTTGCAGTTGGTTCTTTTTGGACTTGTCATTATACTTTAATTAGTCAAACCTTTCTGTTTTTCAAATCAATTTTGCCTTCATTCCTCTTGGGCTCTGCCAAAAATGTATTTTAATTCATTTGTATTAGAACTTCTTAACATGTTGATCCAAAACAATTACAAAACAGAATGTCAGGAGGACAACACAGCACTCAATGATTTTGAATTGATTCACAAAACTAGTATGGTCCTACTCCATGAAAACAAGGCCCTCTGCCTGAAAAATACAGACCTAGCTGCCAGGACGGAGGCTTTGTAGAAAAACCTGAATGACTTGATGGGCCAGCAAGACACCAGCAGTGTCCCTGAAATAAGGGATGCAGATGAGACAGATTTCCATGAGCAAATCACCACTGCAGACAATGAGTCTGAGTCAGACTATGAAACTATGAGAAAAAAATTCATGAACAGACACAGCCCACCAGCACTGTGTCTGAAATAACAACGGGCACAGAGCTGAGTGAGAGTTCCAGGCTGAGTCGCAAGTTCTGGCTGGAGAAGGGAGAAGTTGGGGATGGAAAGGTGCGTTGAAAAAGAAAGAAAGTTGTCACTCCCTAAAGTGCCTGAAAAGGGAACCCAGACTTTGTGCACATGGCAAGACAAGAAGAATGCCTACAATCTGCCTCTGCGAGAGGAAGAGGTCTGTGAGGCACAGAAGACACAACTGAGGCAGGAGATGACCATCCACCCAAAACAGATGTCTCAGGTTGAAAAGAGGGAGCGACAGACTCAGATCGACATGGAAGCACTGCAGGAGAAAATGGATCCCATCACCAAGAAGGCACAGATTAATATTGAAGCCTGGAACAAGGAGAGAGAGACCTTTCACCTGCTTTCTGAGGATCTTCAGGAGGAGATTCATCTACATATCTATCTATCTATCTATCTATCTATCTATCTATCTATCTATTTATCTATCTATCTAGTCTATCTATCGATCCATCACTAGCCCCCATTGACTAATTGGAAACTTTGTTATAAAAATCAAAGGACTGGTGATCTAAAATACAGTCACACTATGATATAGCTCCTTGTGTCTGTTTGTCTCCGCCAAACAGCCAGTCACAGGAACGGTCACAGTCTCTCCTTACAGTGTTGAATAATGTCCAGAAGTGTTTTTGCAGAACATTATGATGTCACAATTAAGTTGACCTTTGACCTTTTGGATACAAAATATTTTCACTTAATTTTATCCTTATGGACATTTGAGTTAAATTGTGTCATAATTAGTGAATGAATTTGTGAGGTATGGCCAAAAATGTGTCTTTTAATGTCACAGTTTGACAGAAGTAATCAAATTCTGAATGTTCCTGAATATATTGCATTCACAAGAATGTCAGTTCACCGTGACCTTTCTAAAGACATTACTGCAATATCGTGTTCAACAGGCCAAAACCGTGTTTTGTGAGGTCACAGCGACTTTGACCTTTGACCACCAAAGTCTAATCAGTTCATCCTTGAGTCCAAGTGAATGTTTGTGCCAAAATTAAAGAAGTTCCAGCAAGGTGTTACTGAGATATCATGACCACGAGAGGTAATGAAATGACAAACTAACATTAGAAATGAAAGGGGGCACTAACTAATGTTAGTGAGCTGAACCGCAACTAAAGGCTAAAGTTAGAAACTAGCTGACATTAGTTAGCTGAACTGTAACTTAAGGCTAAAGTTAGAAACTAGCTAGCATTAGCATTAGCTAATGCTACTTAGATTTACCTAGAGTGTCTCTAGTCATGGGAAGTTCTACTGAAATGTTACTCAAATAAGTAAGTCAACAGAACTAAAAATTACAAATTACAGAGCATCTTAAAATCTAAATTCAAGACATTTTTAACCTTTGAAATTTTGAATTTTCTGAATTTACTTTTTTTTTCTAAAAATTTGAGAGAATAAACCCAAATATGTAATATAACTATAACAAGATACTATGGGTTTATGTCATAATTACAATTGAAAACTCATTCTGAATATATCTAATTTGTTGGCTTGGATGATAATGATACAGTGACATTCATGTTCACTGAACCCACATTTAATAGATATGGCATTATATTGTGGATGCACACAGCTAACTGTATGATGTGAACAAGTAATAAACACTGGGATCTTTCTCATCTCTCCTCACTCATATAATATGAACCCTGCATGAAGCCTCTAATAGTAAGCGTTCAAGATTGATCAGCATCAGTAGCACACAGAGTTCCCTTCATTCAAACATCTCCTGCAGGAAAGAACAGACTACACCCAACTACATCTAAAACATGTTTTATTGTGTAGTCGACACAAGTAATACACTGTTTGTTCCAGTTGCAGACAACTGGCATGAAGTAGACACAACTGTGTGGAATGATTTGTAAAAACAAAAACAGTCTATGGCTTACTGAGTATGACACTGAATCTATGTACAAACTCAAATCAACTCACTGACAGTTTGAAACTTGGAGCACAAAGCTTTTTTTCTTTTATAAATATAAAAAGGGGGAAGGAAGGAAGGCCACTATGGGCCTAAAGGGGGGATAAAGTCTCTTTCACCGAGACAGCTTAACACTCAACAGAGTTATACATATCCCATTTTCTGTTATGGCACCAGTATCAAAGCATGCCCTGGACTCGCGGCTCTCCATCACGGATGCTTCATCTCAAGCAGGTTTAACAGAGCTAGTAGGCACTGAACCAACAAGTAGAATAGAATAACAACTAAACAAATAAAAAGACTACAAATTAGAGATAGATCTTGACTGTCACATGAGGTATTGTGGATCAAAGCATTTCTGTACATTGTCTCATTTTTCCTTGTTTTTTTTGGAATAGTACGGAGAATCATATTAACGTAATTACAAACCAAAAAAAACTGATCACATAGAATCTACATAAAAGCAACAAATGAGGATGTCAATAACACAATTTTCTATGAGAAAATTCAAACCTAGAATAGCAGTATATTGACATTTATATGTATAAAAACATCCAAAAATATAGCAGCAAACAGGAGAAAAGCATTGATTTTAATCCATTACGTCTGTCATCTTTTTTTTTTTCTTTTTTTTTTTTTTTTTAAAACACGTAGCTGGGATTTACTTTCTATAGCAGCGGAATACAAGGAGTGTTTCTCTCCTACTCTCTATCCTTTAATGTACAATCAGAAACCTAATGAACAGGGTTCCTACACAGTTGGACAGAACTCGGTCCTTCCTCTAGAGTGTGATTTGAAGAGTCCCCCTACACATCTACCTGCTCCTGACGTCGGCCCTGGCCTGTGTAGGAACCCTGATTTGAACTCTACAGGGTTAAGACACACCTCGCTGTTGAGCCTTCACCCTTTTTGCCACTTTTTTGCCGCCTTTTCTCCCCTCGGTTCTCTTGCCAGCTTTGCGCTCCACTTTTTTTTTTAGGCAAGTCCCCAAGAAACGCAACCCACGTCTTTTAGGTTTGTGCAAAATCACGTCAATAGCCTCAACACTCCTCTTTTTTTTAAGCTTCATCCCCATCCCAGAATCCATGAGCAGTATGTGAACTGAGCTGGAGCACTGGAGGAGACGCTGTCCTGGCGATTTACAGGCAGACTGGAGTTTTAGCTTCACAAATACATCTGGAGGGCAGGGCTGCTCTGGAGGCAGAAATGACCTCACTGCTCAAGTTCAACATCAGTAGGTGGAGCCACAGTTTGTTATCAAACTACAAAATGCACGCTAAAAAAATAAATAATACTATATAAAAATAAAGTATTATTTTCAATATAAAAATAATACTTCTTTTTATGTTTACCCCTGGACCTTAAGCTTGTGGCTCTGCACACTGAGGTTGAACTGAAGCAATGATATGAGAGAGAGGCTTTGCCTGTGTGAAACATTTGTCGAACTAAAACTCAGATCTGAGACTTGAACGGCGGTGACGGCGAGACACTGGCTCCATGAGACTTAGCATTCAGTCCTGTTTCTCTGTCATACTGGTCTCTGTCCCATCAGACGAATCAGATCCAGGTGCTGCTCTGACTCTATGACCACATGACTCCTGCTCAGACCCCCGGCTCTGTTTTCATATTGTTTTTCAAACTGTGATTTTTTTTAGACGAGCCAGCAGTGCTGACCAAAAGTGCTTCTTTTAGAAAACAAAGTTGGAATGGTTTCAGGTTGAACTACACAGAGAAAGAAAACACACAGACTGTGGACTCCGCTTGCATCTGCATCCATTTGATCTCATCAAACTGCAGCAAGGTGAGGTGGGTAAAGTGAATGTCATCATGTCCACACCTGAACATCAGAAACCCACAGTCACCAGGTCACAAACACAGAGCGTCTCACACTACACTTGGTTTACAAAAGAAAAGAGGTATAACACTAACTGATAAAGAACTCTAACATGATATATATTAAAGTGACTAAACATAAGCAAGCAGGGGTATATCTGTGTGAGTGTCTGCACTGCAACAGGACAAACATGGCAGCTTGGACAGGAAGTCTAACACATTGTAGATACAACAGAAAAGAAATGAAAACAATAAAAGCCTCTTCTCATTAGTAAATGTCAGAATTCAGATGACGACAAACTACAAACCTACTGTACACGACACTTTGGGATGTTTTAGTAGGCAGGTTGACTCTGCGGTAATTGAAAGATTCCTAGTTTAATATTTGTGGGAATAAGAAAAAATATCTAGTAAAATGTTTGTTTGTGGCTTTAGCTCCAGCCCACGGCGCTCATCAGTGTCTCTTTTCTCCGCTACACTTCTGTAGTGTTCATTTCATTTCCCAGGTTGGGAGGGGACACTGGCAGGAAATGTGACTTGGGGTGTTGTTGCGGGGCGGGGGGCGCTCTGTCCCGTCTCGGCAGTCGTAGCAGACAGCATGTATGCGAGTGACATGTCGGCCACGATAGCAGCCCACCGGGAGGAAGAAGGATGAGGAGGAGGAGGAGGGGAGGCTGAGTTCAGAGGAGGCACACCCCCCCAGCCCTCCCATCACCACCACCTATCCACAACTTTCCCTCGATCGTCAGGTCTTGGTGTTACATAGCTCTCCGTCGTCTCAGATGTTGATGTCTCTGACGTCTGTCGGCGTGCAGGACAGGTCCACGTCCTCGTCCACACGTTTGGTTTCTGTGCTGCTGCTGAGCTGCTGAGCCTGCCGCAGGCTGGACTCCAGCAGAGACTCGATTTGCTCCTGACATGACCGCAAGCAGTCCTGCAAGTACAGAATCAGAGTCAAGACCACCGCACCGCTAACCTCAAGAACCAACACTGTTTATTTTAACAGAGAGAGTGTTTGTCATACCGGGTCACTGCGAATGACCTGCGACAGGAAGTTGGTGAGGTTTTGGGAGGACAAGGAGGCGTCTTGGCTCTTCAGGTAGAGACCTTGAACAGCTGCAACCACACTGCCTGCCGCCACCATGGACGGAGGACTGGCGATGAAGTTAACATCTGCGGAAATGCCAAAGGTACATGTTAGGACATGAATAATCATCAAACACCACGTCTGCTTTACTTCACATACATGAACAGAAAATTCAGTTTTATACTCTGTGAGTTCCTGATCATCTTCACCATTATTCATCATTGACCTGAAATTTAACAGTTCAAACTGACCCTAGAACCTCTGCAGATAAACATAGAACTTTAAAAGTCTGTTGCGCCGAACATTTATTAACTGATAATAACATCATGGCAGCCATGATCAGAACTAGAGAAGCACCAAGTGCAGTTTAACTGACAGCAACTCTTCACTTTTTAGACTGCTAATCAACAATGGATGATTGTTATTATTGATTATCATCAAAGGCACATGGTCGAGCCTCAGCAGCAGTTCAGCAGATAGCCATCATGCACGGGTGAGATCAGAGGTGAGGCCCTAGTTTTAGCTGCTTTACCTTTGCTAGCTTCTAGAAGTCGGACATGTTCAGCAGGTGATGGAGTTTAAGTGCCTGATTAAGTTTGTTGTTCTGAATGGGTGTTCCTCCACATCTGACTTTGACCGCACAGGTGTCGCAGAATACGAGCTTTGTGTCTTCTTCACTCACGGTTAAGAACTTCTACGGCGATGCCATGTTTTTTGTGTGTGTGTGTGTGTGTGTGTGTGTGTGTGTGTGTGTGTGTGTGTGTGTGTGTGTGTGTGTGTGTGTGTAGGACAGGAACCATCATGTGGTGCATGAGGCATGAGTTTTAAATTTGGCTGGCACACTGATCACAGCTGATTGATTAGTGCATCTCTAATTAGAATAATAATAATATTAATAATAATAACAACAATAATATGAAGAAGAATCACTGAGTTCTAATAAAATATAGAGTATAGGTAAGTATAGAGGAACCAGGGGATATTAAATGAACAATATACACTGTATGCTTCCATGACAAATCAGATTCATAATCCAGTCAGCAAAGAGGTAGATACATGACCTCTGTGTGTGTGTGTGTGTGTGTGTGTGTGTGTGTGTGTGTGTGTAGTTCATGTCTCACCTGTAGCACAGAGCGCCACAAAGGTCTGGGCATGCTTCCTGAGGATCTGCTTGGTGGACGGGTAGATCTTCAGCTTGGACAGGAAGTGCTCGATGAAGTCGTGAGGTGTGACTGAAGCAAGGTCCCACTTCAGCTTGTTGAGAACCAGCAGCTCCATTTGCTGTGGAACGGACCAGACCAGAGTCAGTCAGTCACTCACACTGACCCACTTACTGCTGGAGAGACATGTGCTCCTCCTTACGTCTGCTCTGACAATTAGTCCCTGCAGCTGCAGCTCTCTGTCTCTCTGTTTATCTATTATGAAGGTATGTACTTATTTGCTTATCAACATATCTACTCCCCATGTCTTTTTTTAATGATGATTACCTCTACATACTATATGTATAATACACCAGTGCATGTTTCTTTCTTCTGTAAACTAACAGGATCAGTTAATGTGAATATGATTATATTCCTGGTGAAGTATCCTAGACTTCATCTGATGGAGTCACAGCAGAGAAAAGTGTGTGTGACTGTGCGTCTTCTAACAGTCTGCACCTCTACCTTACGGCCACCAGGTGTCACAGTGAGTCAGTGTTTTCTTGGCAGTCACTGAGACCATTCATGAAATCAGAGAGGCCTTCCAGTCACCATGGGAAAGTCACAGGCAGCCATTCAGAGCGGCTGCACCACAGCTACGCTTCTACTGTTTTATTTCAACCACACAACTGATACGTGTCCATTCAACACCATCAACACTCTCCCCTCCACAGTGACAATGACTAACCAGATTGACTGTAAATACTCTGTGTTCTGGCCATGTGGTCTGCAGTGCTGCTCTACTGTATGTGTTATGCAACATCCATGTCTGCACAACTCAATTACCAGGAGTTCTCCAGGCTGGACCGAGTTGTCCGTGTAGATGCAGAGTTTCTCCGCCGTTAAGGGCACAGTCTCCTTCATCTTGGATGCTAGAAACATGCACGTAGCTCCCAGCAGCTGTAGTCGTGTTTTCCTGGTGGCCTCCACTGATAAAAATCTGTCCAAATAGTTCATAGCCAGGGGAAAAACCTCCTCCTCACATTTCTGTTCCTCGCAGACCTGGGAGGTGAGAGAAGCACTTAGAGGTTGCTGTTGCTTGTTGGGAGAAAATTCCCCCCATACATACATACATACACACATATATATCTATATATGCATTATTAAGCCTTAACCCCCACAGGCTTGTCTGTCTGCATTCAACAGTAGTGCCGTTCACAATCCTCCTGAACGAATTTACCACAAATTCAACATTTTGTGTGTTTAATTCGTTCGGAGTTTAGAGTTTAAATAGAGGGATTATTTAATGCAAAGTTAATTTCACATGCAACTGAAAATGTCTTAAGTGAGAATGTGACGAGTTTATAGGAGAAAGTGAGTGTACTGCAGTCATGAAAACAGTCGGGAATTAGTTTGCAGTCAGTTCTGACTGAGACACAAAGGTGGCGTCGATGCAAGTTTCACTCTCTAATTTCAACTTCGTCATCTTTTCAAAAAATATTTAGAAATATTTAAAAATTATCAGGATGCGCACAATTAGCATGTAAATGATCCTCATCGAACACCTGATCGGATCAGAGTCAAATGGGTCGAATTGTAGTTTGTATGAATTTAAAAAAAAATCATTTCTCTGTCTGGGCTTTTTCACGTGCTGCAGGCGATGCTTCCTCCGACTCCGAGATGCACGATTTCAGAAATTAATTAAAAATATAAAACGAGGGAAAATTCTGTCCAAAAGTGTATGTAAATGTTAAAAAACATCTAATTTATCAAACCCGACTGTTTAAATCAACCCAACACTTTTACACTTTTAATAAATGTCCTTTTTCCTGAGCGACCTTCACGGACCTCGGCGGCTCCTGTGGAGCAAAACAAACTTCACCAGTTGATCCCAGTGGAACCAGTTGGAGCAGATAGTCTGGACCAGGCCCGAGACACACGTTCATTTCTGCCACATTTAACCCAGTTACTGTCATTGATCCCACTGTTATAGATTTTTAATGATATTAAAATCCTTCTCATATACGACAACAAAGATGGCGCGTAATAGGCTACTGGCACGGGCCGGACTGCATACGTGTACATTGCTGTTATTTAGGAATATTTTCCCCGTGTAATTACATTTCATAACCTTGTGGAAAATATAGGCAGAGGAATAATCAATAATAAATGTATTTACGGTGGAGCTGAAGGCGGTCTGGATCTGCTCTTACAGCCAGGCCGACGGACCACCCAGCACTTATGAGGACATAGTTTTCACAGCGTTTATGTAACAAGCAGTGAAATAACAGACAGGAGCCTCTCACAGCCCCAAACTTTAACATTAGGACCGGACCATCACGGTCTAAGGTGGACTACACAGACCAGCTAGCGGCAGTTAGCAGCGTCACTCAGACACAGAGGGAAAGTTGAAGTAAAGTAGCTACAACCAACCTCCAACATCCAGGTAGCAACTATTTTCCTCATTTTAGGAACAATTTCCTTCTGAACACACTTGAAGTAGTTGGGCGACGGCAGGTAGGTCTCCTCTGCCTTCAGCATGGTGTGGAGGACCCGGTCGTTGAGCAGGTTGACGTCCTGGTAGGCTCTCCTGATGGAGTCCACCTCGCAGCACAGCAGCTGGTCCTCCATGGTGCCTTTCACTTCTGCCTTAATGTTGCGATAATTTTCAGAGTGTGACGCCGCAGAAGTGACGCGGTGTGGTGGAGGAAACGGGCGACACAAGGCGACGGTCGGTGCTTTTTAAATCACTTTCCTCTCGCGGGGGCTGCTGCTGCTGCCGCGTGCTGCTGCTCCTCCGGTGTGCGCGAGCCCTCTGAAGAACAGAGTGCTTCCCCCCGCGAGACAAAAACCCCTGCCTCGCGCTCAAGACACACACACACACACACACACACACACACACACACACACACACACACACACACACACACACACACACACACACACAAAGTTTACCGGCGAGCGCGCGCTCAGGAGGAGGAGGAGGAGGTGGAGTGGGTACGCGCGGTGACGTCAGCTGTTGTTAAGAGGGGGGGATCAAAGCGACAAGCAGTCTGCTAGGGAGCGCGCGAGGAAGGGATTCTATTATATACATATATATAAGGAAAGAGCGAGGGAGGGGGGCGGGATGGGGATCCTCCCCCCTCCCAGAGCCTGGTGGCTTCTGAGGAGGAGGTGGGAGGTCCGGGGCCGAGTCTGGGGAACGTCTGTACCCGGTAGGGAAAGCTGACGGCTGGGCGTCGGTAGGGGGCGGTCACGGCTCACACCCCCTCTTCCTTCTTACTCTGTGTGTGTGAAGGAGTGAATGAAGGCAGCAGCTCCCACCAACATGAGGTGAGCACATGGGACAATAGCAGCACTCTCAAACACACACCGTGCTGCTTTATTTATTCCATTTAATCCTGATCCACACAGTTCCAGGACAGGAGCGGGTGGAGTGAGTTATATGAGCCCGCTCTACCTGTTCATGAGCACGGTCCACGTCTAAAACACTCACTACCAGCACATGGTTTAACCTGTTGAATATGTACAGTTAGAGAATTAAAGATGGTGGCTGTAGTCCTCAGCTGGTGACCAAAATATGAAGCCCACTCTGCATGTGGCTCCTTCACACTGAACCAAACAGTCAGGTCTAAACTGTTTGTTTGAAGACTTGTGAGTCCATATATGTGAATGTGAACAGCAGTTAAACTCTATCAAATATCAAATGAGGCAATTAATTATTTAGTCAGTTATTGAGAACTATTGGAGCTCTGGAGTTTGATATCACATGAAAAACACAAGAAAAGCTGTTTAGAATAAAGTAAAACTGGAGTGCAAATAAAGTTTGAAGACTTTCTCTAACACACACTCACCCTCACACACACACACACACACACACACACACACACACACACACACACAGAAACGGGAGGAGACTGGAGCTGCACCAATGGGAAGAATAGCTGTTACTAGGCAGATGTCGATGTAACTTTTCATGTGGGGAAAAGTTCAGTTCACTGGAAAAGTTGACACTGTTATTGATAACCCTATCAAAGTCCTCTGACTTTCAAATAATCAATACAGACATTTTTTTTATTGACAGCGCTGCTGTATGTGGACGTCTGTGCTGCTTCAGTCAGCCTGGGCCTGGAACCCTTTCAGTCAGACTGAAGACAGGACGGTCAGGCCCTGTTACCAGCACTGATCTGGTTCCTCCAGTTAATAACCAGTGTTCAGTGTGAAGTTGTGCACATTTTAATCTAGTTTCAATATGAATTGGAGCTTTTCACATTCCTGGAATTCCTCTCTGGGCTGTTGGGTGGACTACCGTAATGTCTGAAGAGGGTTCACAGAGTCACATCAGACCACATCACCACTCAGGCATCAAACACACACCATGACTCTGCTATGTAAAATACACTTCCACTATGTTTTCACACAGCTGAACTGTAAACCTGCTGATTTTTACTTTGTTGTTATCTTAACTTTTACTTCATGTGTACAAAACCTCTTATCATGTGTGTTATAGCTCATAATGTTTTCTATGCATATCTATTTTTATTTCCTATTTACAGCTGGCCCTCTGAAACACACAGAACAAATCAAACAGATCAAATTTATTGTCTGTCCTATAACAACCCTGATGTCACATGAGTATTTTATTTATAGCACAGTAATGTCATAATGTAATTTAAGTAACGTAACTTCATAATTGTCCTTTTTACATGTTTGAAAATGTGTTGAAAAATGAAATGTAAGCCAGCAGATAGTTAGAGAAACTGATGTGATCCAGAGTGTTGTGTCCTCAGTGTCTCATTCACACTTAGATAGAGGCTCTCTGTGGCAGACAAAGGAGCCGGAGCATGTGACTTTTGCAGTGAGGCTCTTCTAGCAGCTTTATGGTAACGGGAAGGAAGTGTTTAAAGGGACAGCAGAGAGCTGAAGTGAAACCAGCAGGGCACAGACTGCTGCAGACTACTGATCACACCACCACCACTACCACCACTGAGCCCACGGCTGGAACATAGGCTGCGATTTACCACATCAAGGCCGCTGCCTCTGCCCTGGTTCTTCACTCACAGTGTCATGTGATGTTTTCTCATTTTCACTGCTTGTTCAAAAACACTCACACTGACTCCTCACACTTGTTGAATCTGCTCCACTACACTGGTTAAAGCCACATACTTCAGTATAATGTTGATGTGTGTGATGTGTTATTTGTCATGTGTCAGGCTCATGATACGAGTGATGAATGTCAGGCGATCAAAGAAATATGCAAAAGAAAAGAACAATAAGAGTCTGCAGCCATGCTGTAGTGATATGAGGCTATCTGCATGCTAACATGCTCTCTATGACAGGAAGCTGTTGTTTACTATCTTAGTTGAGCAGTGTTGACATGCTAACATTTACTAAGGCTACATCCACACTATTATGTTTTAGTTAAAACTCATCTGTCCACACGACTCCAGAGTTTTCAGCCCCTAAAACAGAGACTTTCAGAACCTGGACCTGTTTTATTTTGAAAACTATGGAGTTGTGTTTTATTTTGAAAACTATGGAGTTGTGTTTTAGTTTGAAAATTCTGGGGTTGTGTGGTATCTGGATGAACAGAAACTGAGACCTGTGGAAATGATGACATAGACACCCACGGTCTCTCCTGATTGGCTCTCATCAGCCTTGTCTACCTGTGGTGAATACAACATGATAATGAATTACAGTGTTACTGACCTTGCTGTCTGTGCTAGCAGCTGTTGTTCAGTTACATTCTCTATTTTAATAAAAAACTGTCTTTGCTGTTTCTCCTTCAGAGGACTTACTGTACTTTATGTACTGCAGAGCAGACAATCTACTTCCTGTTCACACCGGCTTGCACATGCCCAGTGTATCTGAATGGTCATGTAATATGTGTTTTCAGGTGTGTTAGTATGATGAATCTGATATGGGATTGTTTCTGAGACAGACCTAAAACGCTTGTCTGGATGGAGATGGTTTTTGTTTTAATACACCATTTTAAAATGAAAACCTATCAGTGTGGACGTAGCCAGAGTCTGCAGCCATGCTGTAGTGTTGTGAGGCTGTACTTGTGTTAGCATGCTAACATGCTCACTACACTTAAAAATAACAAGTAAACTAAATTTTAAGTAAACTTAACAAGTTGATATAAAGTCAACATAATTTAAAACTAATAGTTATATTAACGTAGTTTTTTCAAGTCAATCGGTTTCCTAGATTTTTTAAAGTGAGCTCAACTTGTCACATTTTACATTTTATGACAGGAAGCTGATGTTTAGCGGCTGATGTTTACCATCTTAGCTTAGCAGTGTTGACATGCCAACATTTACTGAGCTGATGGGAATGCTGTTGTGTTTGGTTATAAACCAACTTATTGACCCATTAATTTAAAGTCAGGGTTTCACAACAGGTATCACAGTTCATCCTGTGGGCAACACAAACATCTGTATAAAATGCAGCGCCAGGACCCCTCGCTCTTTGCTGCAACTACGATCAGCTGATTGTATGACAATCTCAGGAATGCCTCAGTGTTGCCTTAAAGACAAAGATGTTTACGGTGCATATGCAGCTGGTGACCATTAGACTGTTTCTGCTGCACATTTTATTTCCCTGTGCAGACACTGTACACAGGCTAATACTGAGGTTAATGGTTGATGTAAGAGTTCTTACCTCACTGAGCAGGAATCTGAGTCTCCTACAGGAAGAGCACTCCATGTGTGACAAGACACAGATAACATCTTTCAGTGGCTGAAGCAGCTCACATCGTCCACATTCCTTCATGTTCTAGCTCTGGGCTGGTTAGTTACTGGTTAGTTACTGGTTAGTGACTCTGCTGTGACTTGAACGGAAACGTCAGATTTCCTCATGTTTGTAAAGGCATCATCACATTCATTCATTTTCTCAGGCCTAAACCATTCATTCATTCTGGTTCCCAGTACTGCCTTTCATTCATTCAAGGGGTTGGCTGGTATGTGTGTGTGTGTGGGGGTATGTGTGTGTGTGTGCTCCCCCTCCTCAGACCCTCCCCATGCTGTTTTACTTTATTTTGTTGCACCTTCCACACTGTGTTTGCTGAAAGGTTTTGTTTTTAACACACCTTAGTTAGACTCACACACACACACACACACACACACACACACACACACACACACACACACACGCACCTAAACACTATTGTACTCTTTCATGTTAAAGTGCTGTTAGACTGTAGACTGCATGCCTGACATACCTGCATGTGCCAGCAGCAAGGTGACCATGTTTGTGTGCTGTCTTTTACATTTGTGTGTTTGATTGTAGAAGTGTGTGTATGTGTGTATGTGTGTGTGTGTGTGTGTGTGTGTGTGTGTGTGTGTGTGTGTGTGTGTGTGCATACATGCAAAGTATTGACTCTGGATATTTACATTAACATTTACAATATTTCAGGCTATTGCCCTGCTTTTATCTAACTCAAAGCTTAAATAACTGAAGCAAAGCTTTGTGTGTGTGTGTGTGTGTGTGTGTGTGTGTGTGTGTGTGCTTGTGTGTGTTTGTGTGTGTTTGCAAGAGTGTTGAAGTAGTGACATTTGTCTTCACACTCATTCTATGTGTAGCTTTGAAGTCCTGATGCCTCTTCATATTCTAAATATGACCTCCAACAGCACACACACACACACACACACACACACACAGAGCCTGTGTGAGACCGTCATCCTGAAGGGACGGAGTGAAAGACAGAGGGTTTCTCTCTGTGAATGAAACTCTTTCTCAGCTGAGGGCAGCTCCACAATGACCCTGCAAAGATGGATAGGGAGATTGTCCTGTGAAGTGATCCGCGAACACAGTTAGGCGGGGGTCAATCTGGGCGTGTGTGTGTGTGTCTGCATGTGTGTGTCCTGCACCACAACTG